TAATCCAAAATTACGGTCATTCCTAGAACGGCCGCTTAGCCTTGTTACATGGTGTGTTTGCCGAAGACGCTCACAGATTTACTACATCCCGGATGCGGCTGTAATACCATAGTCCACCTCCGGTCTCTGTAGATTTCTTTGTAAACTGGAGTCCATAAATGCGGATGGAAAAAAAGTCACACCTTTATTTTAACTAGCCGTGCGCAGGAATGGAAATCACAGGCATTTGCACATCATATGGCCATTGTGGAGGCTGTTTTGAAAAATCGTTTACTCTCGACACTAATCCAAAATTACGGTCATTCCTAGAACGGCCACTTAGCCTTGTTACATGGTGCGTTTGCCGAAGACGCTCACAGATTTACTCATCCCAGATGAGTCCACCTCCGGTCTCAGTATAGATTTCTTTGTAAACCTTGGTGATTTATCGCTTGCATCTGGAAGGGTCCATAGGCTTCCTCCGACTGCTTATGGCACAGAAAAGTGGCGACCACAGTCCAGACCAGGGGTGGGCAAACTTTTTGACTCGAGGGCCACAATGGGTTCTTAAACTGGACTGGAGGCCGGAACAAAAGCATGGATGGAGTGTTTGTGTGAACTAATATAAATTCAAAGTAAACATCATTACATAAAAGGGTACGGTCTTTTTTTTTTTTTTTTTAGTTTTATTCATTTAAAATGGGCCGTAGTTTGCCCACGGCTGGTCCAGACCATGAGATCCACGAGGGCAGACTGCAGTTGTCTTATTTGCTGCGGAATACCCCCCAAACCTGGCACAGTTCCTGGCCCAGAGTGGGTTCAGTGAATATTCTTGAGATGAATGAATGAGATGGGGCAGATCTCCCCTCTGCCATTATAACTCACCCGGTTAAGAGGGAAGGACTAGCTCTGTAACATCCTCCCTACTCCACCCCTCTGTACTAGAGTCTGTGAACCCTGTGGCTACTTAGCATGCGGCTGTTGGGGAGAAATGCCTGGGTACTCAACCCGGGCCAGGGAGTGAAGGGGATTATTTCTAGTGAAGGAGAAAAGAGCTGACCCTCCCTGCCCTCCATTCCATGGTCTGGTGAGGAGCCGCTGTACAACCGCCCCTGTCATGGAGGGGTGCCTCCTGACCCACCTGCTGTGGGCCCCAGGCCTTCCTACCTGGATTTGAGGGTGATCTGCATCTCTTTATAGGCGGAATCGCTCTTGGTTTGTTTCAGCATTGACGAGACACTGCAAAGCAAGAAGAATCTCTTAATGAGGCACCAGACCTATGGTGCTCCTGAGGACAGACCATGCCCGCCTTAGACTCCTTAGGCTCCTTAGACTCCCGGGCACAGGAGTCACCTGGAGAGACTGCCGAGAATACGGATCCCTGGGCCATGCTCCCGGGGATTTGCATATATTAGGCCTGGAGTGGGGCCCTACCCCGGAAGCTGCACTTAAAACCACACACATGCACACACGGACACACACACCCTCACTTTTGATACGTATGTGCAGGGAGCACATTTGAAACCTGAGAGTTTGTCAGCATACTGTGAGGTAATGCCACCGGAAGTGCTTATTAAAAGACATGGTTTCCACCCAGCCAGCATGCCTCCCTGGTTGAGTGTTGACCTATGAACCAGAAGATCATGGTTCGATTCCTGGTCAGGGCACATGCCTGGATTGTGGGCTCGATCCTCACTGTGGGGAGTGCAGGAGGCAGCTGATCAATGATTCTCTCTCATCATTGATGTTTCTGTCTCTCGCTACCTCTCCCTGAAATCAATAAAAACATATTTTTAAAAAATACGGTTTCCTCTGGAGATTCTGATCCAGTGGATCTGGGGTGAAGACCAGAAATTTGCATTTTCCACAAACATCCCAGCTGATTCTGATCTTTGGGGACCTGTGGAAAACACAGCTAGAGGAATTTAAGAAAGGGCCATCTTCCTAGATGATGTTATGATCTGAATGTTTGATTCTTCTCGCCTCCCAATGCATACAATGAAATCCTACCCCCCAAGGTGATGGTTAGGAGGCAGGGCCTGTGGGAAGCCATGAGATCATGAGGGTGGGGCCCTCATGAATGGGATAGTGTCCTTCATAAGAGACCTAGGGAGCTAGCTTGTCCCTCTGCCATGTGAGGCCACAGTGAGAGGACAGCGGTCGGTGAGGCAGAGGGCCCTTACCGGACACCAGATCTGCCCGCACCTCGATCTTGGCTTTCCAGCCTCCAGACTGTGAGATAGAAATGTCTGTTGTTTATGAACCACTCAGTGCATGGCATTCTGTGATAACGGCCCAGATGGACTAAAGACAGATGACAGAGGGTGCTCCGGCCTTGAGGCTGGGGCCTGGCTAGGTTGGAGCCCCTGGATTCCATGTCAGCCTTGATGGGAGCCAATTTGATGTCTAAGGTGAGGAGAGAATCCTGATTCTAGGGTGAGGAGAAGCCCTCACTGCCTGCGGCCCCGGGAGAGATGGGGAGATTTTCCTCTGGAGGAAGGAGGAGGACGGGATATTTCAGCGGGTTCTTGCCCTGCAGCCACGGTTATTTTATCATCAAAGCGGACACAGAGGCCACGTGATGAGTGTCGTGCGGACCGGATTCTTGCCTGGTTTTGTCTTTGGCGACCTTATGCAAGTCACTCACCACCACTCTTCTATGACTGTGAGACGGAGCGGTGGAAATGGTTAATAAGTGCGTCTCGTCAAGGCGCAGCGAGGACTGTGGGACACCATGTGTGTGAACTAAAGGTCATGGCCATCACCACCAGCACGAGCATCGCTGCCACCTGTTGCACGCTTGTGATATGCCAGGCACATGCTAATATGTGAAATGCATTATATCTCATGAAATGCATAGAAATGACTCATTGGAGTAGACATTACGTCCATAACAATCATCATAATACTTTACCAGGCTGGTATCACTGAGTTCTTACTGCAACCCTTTGGGATAGGTTGTCACTGAGCCTCATTTTACGGAATGGGAATCAGGCTCAGAGCGGTGACACAACTTGCTCAACATCACACGGCAGTGAAATGATGAGGATGGAGATGGAGATGAACCTTCGTCTGTTTGGTCCCAAGGCCAATGCTTTGTTGCTGCCCGATCTCATTTGATTAGAGGAGGAAACGGAGGTTTGGAGAAAGGCTGAGGGACTTGTTCCAGAGCTTCAGGGTTTGCACCGACTCCAAGCCAGTGTTCACCGAGGAGTTCTTACAAAGGGAGGAGGGGCCTTGTAGAGCTGACGGCCATCATTGTTGTCTCTTTAATGCTGAGGAATCAGGAAGGCAAGGCCTGGGGGGCCAATGCTGCCTCTAAGCCCTGATGCGAATTGAGGCAGCAGCTGAGAAATTCATCACTGCAAGCAGAGGTGAAGGTGCTGGGTGAACTGTAATTACGGTGACAACAATAACCAATAAGTCATAGCCAGCATCTCAGTGGGCTGAAGGCGATGATGAACCTCTTCTGGTGCCTCGTTTACTTTCAGCAAGTAATTTGCGTATTGGGAGGGACCTACACCCGGGAAGGGAACTCCAGCTCTAGCCCGTGTGCTCTCCGAGGCTTTCAGAGGCCAGAAGCTCTGTGGACAATGCTTCCCACCGGAAGGAAGACGCTTCAGGTTCAAGTCTGACCCTCTGAACCAGTGCCACTGGTCGCCGGCTTGAAACTTCAAGGATTCCTGTGACTCCTGGGATAGACACGAGACTCGGTGAGGTGGCCTCCAGGGTCCCCGGTAGACTCATGCCTCTTCCCATCCATTTTTGCTGCATTTCAGTTCTTTGAAGGTGCATGGTCCCTTGACCAGGTTTGCATATGTGTATGTGTTGCCTAAAGTGCTCTCCCTTGCCACTCCCCAACTCTGCCTGCTAGCTCCTTTTCATGCTGCATTCAAAAACCTCAGCTTAATGTTTATTCTTGGAGGCACCTTCCCTGATCACCATTCCAGACAAGACCAGATACCCGTATTATTTACTCTCACAGGTCTGAGCTTTCCTGCCAGAACCCCACCCTCTGTAATTAGCACACAGCCCATACACTTTCTTAAATATTCGCTAACAGAATGAACGAATAACCTTATAGAGAATGGTTTCTGGAATCAGAAAGCTCTGGATTCAAGTTGTGGTCTTACGTTCATTCGCTGGGTGACCTCCAGCACGTTCCTTCACCTCTCTGAGCCGCATATCCTTATTTGTAAAATGAAGGTACTAGTACCTGCCTCGTAGGGTGCATGTCAGAACGCGGGGAGATGATACCCATGGGAAAAGCACAGTGCTCTGTGCTGTCGCAGAGAAAACGCTCAGGAACTGGGAATGTTACCGTTCTTACTCTCTGTGCCCAGGGGTCGCGAGAACATACCTGGGTGCTGTTTTTTGCACCTCGGAATCCATCATGATCGTCCTCCGGGCCTCCTCCCGAACCATCTCCAGGAGCTTCTGCAGATCTGACGGGAACATGAGCGCTCACTGTGTGGAGGGCTCCCTTGAGACCGGACTGTGCCGGACGGGGCCCACCCCCAGCCTGATACCGCCTCTGCTTCTCCGGGCTGGGGAGCCGCAGAGGGATTGGAGCGGGTCCAGAAGAGGTGGCGCACAGCGTCTGGGAGCTAAGTGAGGTGTGGAGCTTTAGACACGACTTTCTGGCTACAGGTTTAAAGGATGATGTTCTGTAGAAACTGGGCTAAAGGAAATGTATTGTTAACATTGTAAACAGAGACGTTGATGCCCACCGGCTGTCTCCCCAGGAGAAATAGCTCAGCGTGGCCCAGGTTGGAGGGTGTATTTCTGATCCCCACGGGGGTAAAGTGGAGGGTTCCAGGGGACAGAACAGGACCAGGGAGCCCCTGTGTCTCTCTTCATCGAGTCGGGTCAGAAGGGGAGCAGGAGGGGCTCCTGACATCTGGCTTCCAGGCAAAGCGTCCGGGCGGACCGGTCAGCTCGCGGGCAGGACTTACTGATGTGGAGGTCCTCGTCGGGCCTGGTGGAGGACGATTCCGTGTCCTCGATGTCCTTGTTGCCTGCTGCCTGGACGGTCACGCTCGGGGGCTCATCCGAGCCGGGGTTCACGGAGATCATGCTGCTCAGCGGGGAGGACCCTGCACTGGCCCGGGACAGGCTGAGTATGGAGCCCCGCCGGCTCGGCTTGCGGCTCGTGACGCGCTGTGTAGGAGTTTTGAATTTCTTGATCTGAAGGAAAGAGGGAAGAGAGAGGGATTTCAGAAAGGAAGGAAGGCTTGACCCGTGCGACTCAGCGGTTGAGCGTTGACCCATGAACCAGGAGGTCATGGCTGGATTCCCGCTCAGGGCATGTTCCCTCCTTGGATAAAGTAGGCGTGTGACACAGTGCCCTCTTTGTCTTGACATTGGCCAAGAGCTGGCTGGCCTGACAGAAAGCTCCTCTGCTCCCTGCCACCATAGGAGAGAGGATGTCCAAGCTCAAGGATAACGCCTCTTGCTGTTTCCCCTGGCACAAGGAGAGTTCCCGACTCTAGAAACCAGGTGTTTTTAGATCAACGTCATTTTTGAAGACTAGACAGGTTGTGTCCTGGGGGCAGCCTGGGGTCCTGCAGTGAGCACTGGACTCAGAGCCAGGGGACTTCAGGGGGACCTTGAGCAAGTCACTCGGCCTTGCCTCAGTTTCCTCATCTGTGAAACAAAGAGGAGGGACTGGGATGATCTGAGAAGAGCTTTTCATATCTTCCTTGGGTAGGATTTCATTTTGTGCTTCTGAGTTGCCATTAATTAAAATTCAATTAATAATCCCAATCAGGAAATCCAAAGTGAAGGGCTGACACTCCTGATTAATTGAGAGTCGGGGAATGTGACAGGCAGGCTCAGTATCTCCCTTGCCCTTTATTGAGCTGACTCTCTCTGAATTGACTTTAACCCCAATGCTTCCTCTCTGTTGTTTGTATTCCACTCAAGAGCTGTGTTAGCCCTGACCGGTTTGGCTCAGTGGATAGAGCGTCGGCCTGCGGACTCAAGGGTCCCAGGTTCGATTCCAGTCAAGGGCATGTACCTTGGTTGTGGGCACATCCCCAGTAGGGGGTGTGCAGGAGGCAGCTGAATCGATGTTTCGCTCTCATTGATGTTTCTAACTCTCTATCCCTCTCCCTTCCTCTCTGTAAAAAAAAGCAATTAAAAATATATATATTTTTAAAAAGAGCTGTGCTAACCAGCTGCTGTGTCACACCTCAGTAGGAACTGCAGGGATTCCTTATACTTCCCGAGAAGTAGGGGTTCCACACTGATGGCTCATGGGGAAACACGTTTAGCTGCCCAAGATTTTACAAATTGGGGAGATTTTTATAAAAAAACGGAGGCTGTTGGTCTCTCTTAAAAATGAGAAGCCCCCGGCTTCCATCCTCACGTGGCAAAATGAGCTAATGCTGAGCAGAGGCTCTTCCTGTAGCTGGGCTGGAGGATCCTGTTGGCCACAGACCTCCCCCGAGCTGTGCTTTCCTCAGCCCTGTTTGTTTACTTAGCTTGCCAGGCTCTCATGCTCGCTGCCCTCGCACCATAAGCTCTACACAGAGGGAAGAGCACCTCTGGCTGTGTGGGCTGACTGGAGCCTCTCTTTCAGTGCTCATCAGACGGGTGGAGAAACCGAGGTCAGGAGAGAAGAAAGGACGTGTCCACTGCCACACAGCGAACTGAGTCCCGGGGGCGGAGCGCGGTCTCCTGATTCCCAGTTTGGCACTCCCCCACCCCCAGAGTGGACCACGTTGTGGCCCAGAGCTTGACCCACAGACTTGCCCCCGGGGAATTCAATTTTGTGAGAGTTCACGTGCGGTGATTCATTCTCTCCTCCTCCGATTTCCCTTGTGCATGTTCCCGAAGGGTTTTTGTTAAAGGTTTGTGGCTCCTGCTGCTTTTTCTGTGCAACTCTGGAGACAGATGCACACGCCATCTCCATAGCAACTTTCTGTGATAAAAACCAGCATTCTGACTTCTCAGAGCTATGAACACCCTGATGAAAGAGCAAGAAATGTCGAGACTCTTTATGAGGGCCAATTATAATCAGGATACCGTGGAGAATATGCATTCCGAGACTCAGCGTTTCATAAACAGTGCTTAATAAACAGGCTAGGATTAACTCCTGGCTCTGCCGTTACCCAGCTGTGTGACCTCATGCAAGTCACTTAACCTCTCTGAGCCCCTATTTTCTCCTCTTCCATCTGGATCAGAATAGTGCCTCATGGGATTATTACGAGGACAGACTAGCTTCCTTAGCACAGAACCTGGTCCATTGCAATGATGCTAAAAAGTGGCTTCTAAAAGTTGTATAGCCACAATAATGCTTGGCACTTGAACATTTTTTTAAAAAAATATTTTTTATTGATTTCAGAGAGGAAGGGAGAGGGAGAGAGAGATAGAAACATCAATAATGAGAGAGAACCATTGATGGGCTGCCTCCTGCATGCCCCGCACTGGGGATTGAGCCCACAACCTGGCATGTGCCCCTGACCGGAATCGAACCTGGGATTCAAGTTGTGGGCTCAAGTTGAGTCCACAGGCCGACGCTCTATCCACTGAGTCAAACCGGTTAGGGTGGCACTTGAACATTTTCAAGGTGAGTGTGTGTATTGCTTGCTGGGACCCTTTACTAATGGGAAGTAGACAGGGATGAGCATCATACCCATTTTGCAGGTGAAAGGAAAGGTTCAGCAAACTCTCTAGTTGTATGCTCTCTCAACGACTTTTACATACCTAATATCATCTGTCATTATTATTATTTTGGTGCTTTGTTGAGTGGATGAGTTTGGGAGATTTTGGGGTTAATTGTTTTTGGTGAAAAGAATAGACCTCTTGATATTCTCTTAATAAACACATGTTCTGGTTTATAGAAAACCCTGTCTGTTGAATCATTCACTTATTTTCTGTGTGTGTGTGTTAGAGATAGAGATAGATAGAGAGAGAGAGAGAGAGAGAGAGAGAGAGAGAGAGAGAGAGAGCTGACTATTATTGAGTGAGTCCATTTCCTTCTGGTGACATCCTATTGAGCAGCGCCATGGCCACCCCTCCCCTTCTCTGTGATATGGTGTCCAGCCAAATGTCATTTCTCCTCTAATCTCCAGATGACTATCTAGGCAGCAGTTCTCAACCTGTGGGTCGCGACCCTTTTGGCAGTCGAACAACCCTTTCACGGGGGTCGCCTAAGACCATCCTGCATATCAGATATTTACATTACGATTCATAACAGTAGCAACATTACAGTTATGAAGTACCAACGAAAATAATTTTATGGTTGGGTCACAACATGAAGGAACTGTATTCCAGAAGGTTGAGAACCACTGAATGTGGTTCTGACCTTCCCTCACTCAGAGAACCAGCTGGAAGAGAAGAACCCAGTGAGAGAGAAGACTGGAGAGAATGCCTCCAGCACAAGGAGGGGTCGGTCACCAGATGGCAGAGTCGCACGCGTCGTCTGTTACCTTGGGTGCCGTGAGGAAGTGCTCCCACCGCTGTACCATGGACTTGTCCTTAATGACTTTCTTTATTGTGCTCTTGCTTCCACCTGGGTCCCTAAGTGAGAAACAGAAACAGCTTAGTGAGTTTTCCAGTTCGAGAGTCTCGGTTTATTTTTTTATTTATTTTATTTTTTAAAAATATATTTTATTGATTTTTTACAGAGAGGAAGGGAGAGGGATAAAGAGTTAGAAACATCGATGAGAGAAAAGCATCGATCAGCTGCCTCCTGCACACCCCCTACTGGGATGTTGCCTGCAACCAAGGTACATGCCCTTGACTGGAATCGAACCCGGGGCCCTTCAGTCCACAGGCTGATGCTCTATTCACTGAGCCAAACCAGCTAGGGCGAGTCTCGGTTTATTACGAGTCCTTTTGAGAAATGCAGTAAACAGAATATGAATGGTGGTTGGTCTCAGTGATTCCCCCCACCCCCCTCCATCCTGTATTTGTGAAGAAGTGGGAGGGACAGTTCTCCATAACTGGTCTTGCGAGTGAAAATCAAGATTAGGGAGACTACTGCTTACTCTGTCCATCCACCCAATCCATCAAATCCATCCCATTCATCCAATCCATCCATCCCTTTAATCCATCCATCCAGTCCATCTAGTCCATTCCATCCAGTCCATTCAGTTACCGAGAATATAGGTAGAAAGCTTTGAAAAAATGAGAATACTGGTAATATTTACAAATCTGGCTACATTTGGTGGAGTTTTCACAGTAATGTGCGCTCATGCATTAAATAACCATCCATCTATCCATCCATCCATCCCATCCATCCCATCCATCCATCCCATCCATCCATCAACCCATTCACCCACCCATCTCTCCAATCCATCCATCTAGTCCATCTGATCCATCCCATTCATCCAATCCATCCATCCCTCCAATCCATCCATCCGGTCCATCTAGTCCATTCCATCCAGTCCATTCCATCCATCCATCCATTCATCCATCCATTCACCCACCCATCTCTTTCTCTATTCCTCTTTTCTCTGCAGAAAGAATTTTAGATGGCTGGGATCCTTTTAATCATTTGGCTGGCTGTCACCTGGAGTAGACGAGGGCCTTGAAGGAATGAGATGGTTAGACCAGTTTGACGGGGAGAGGCACTGACAGGGGTCTAGAGTTATCAGGGGCTGCAGAGGCCAGTGGTGGGAGGAGATGCTCAGATATTGGAGGCAAAAGGTGATCAAGACCAACCTTACTTAAGACTGGCTTCTCATGGCATGGGGAGAGGACCAGAGGCCTTTACCAGCCTAAAGGGGGGGGATGGGTGTGCACTCCTCACTGGCAGAACCTTGCTGGGCACCTGCCAGCTCATGGCTACGGTGCATGAAATGTGCCCAGACACCAAGGTGGAAGTCAGCTGGGGAGCGGGGTGGGGCTGTGCCTCAAGCTTTTTGTAAGACCTTACGTTTGATTACACAATAAAAAACCCTCTGAATAATTAACAGTAAAGCTCATTTAACGTTGGTTCTGCTTGCCTCTCCCCCGAGTAATCAAATTAGGGAATATTTAAAATCCAGCCAGAGAAAGGAGCAGCAATGCCTCAGTCCTGTAAACAGTATTTAAACTGGTGGCACTTCTGAAATCTGATTTCAGGCTCACCAACTGGAAGCGGAGCTTCCTCCTTGGAGCGTTTCTTTCCACAGGGCGTTTTGCCTGTTCCCTTTGCTAACACAGCCCCCCCACTGGGCCTCTAGCCTTCTTGAAGTTCAAAAGCAACCCCTTCCCCCTTTAAAATTAAATCCGGTCCAAGCCAAGCTTTTAAAATTTTAAATATTCGGGCCGATTGGGGAAGATGGAGGTTTTCTGTTAACACCGACTTCCAAGACGACTCAAAATCTAATGCATCTTCAGGCAGCGGGCTAAATGAGCTAACAGCAAGCTTCCCAGCGATCTTAAAGCCCGGTGCCTGCTCCTGCAAAGCCACTGATGAAGAAAGGGCCTGGTTCGACAGAAGCAGCCTCTCTGTTTCATGTTCAGAAGCAAATAAATCAAAAGGGAAGATTAATAGGGGGAGGAAAAGAAATAAACCGTCGGAGCTTTGTCGTCCACCGTGGGCTGACTACCCACCTTTCGGGAAAGGGCAAAGCCATTGGTGCCCCTTGCGGTAGCTGGGTGGGTTGATCGTTATGTAGTTCACCAAACAGTCCCAGGTTTTCAGGCTCCTAGAAGTCAGGTGTCGCACCGTGGCTTGCTTTGCTCAAGCATGCATGAGAGAAAGCGACATGTGCACTTAGGGTGCCGGGCCTCGAGGCGGAGCCCCTTTTCCTGCCGGGTGGATGGCGGAAGCTTGCATTGAGATGGAGCTCCTACCAGCCTGGGCCTTTGAGCGACTCTGATGAGCAGAGAGCCCCATGTCGATGACATGCAGGGTGAGCAAGGAATAAACTTGTGTTGTGTGATGCCACCGAGATTTTGGGGTTGTTCATTATGGCAGCGTAACCCTGTTTACCTAATTGATGCCCCTGACTTACTGTCTGTGACCTCAGGCAAGTCTCTCTGAGTGCCAGAACCAGAAAGTGGTTTAAGAGTCAGGCAGACTGGCTGCCCCCACTGCTTCCTAGATGTGTGTGTGTGTGTGTGTGTGTGTAAGTTATTGAGCCTCTCTGAGCCTCAGTTTCCTCATCTGTAAAATGGGGTGGTATTAGCCATGTGGTGAAGGTGCAATGGAATGAGGCTTGCTAAGAACTCGGTGAAGTTCCTTGTACAGAGAACTGAGTACAGTTAAGCTATTCAGAGCAATATCCCTTTTTCAACAGAGATCTTACTGTGGCGTGGAGGAGGGGCTGTGGGGTGGGGGACGAGATACCAAGGCAGATCCACTGGGGCAGAGATGGCTGTGATTTCCGGACCATAATTTCCACCTGCTGACACTTTGTGGGAGATTCTGTTTGCTGGGAATCCAGGGACAAGGGCACCCAGCACTCTCCCATCTCTTTCCAGCACATTTTGTTCCTAACGTTCACTTGAAGATGTCTGTCCACTGTGGCAATCAGAGTCATTTCTCTCAGATACTTCACTCTCTTCTGAACCAAGTTTCACCTTCTTCTCTGAGTGGGAAGCCTGTCGTCTGGTTTAGGAGGCGTCGTGTGTCTGTGACCCAGATGGAGAGTGGAGGTCACCGCTGATTTTGCACCAGGAAGAGGACAGAGGTCAAAGCTCTTGGGATCACCACGCAGGTCGCCCTGTCCTGCCTCCTGAGTGAGGGGTGCATGCTGGTCACCCTGCCCTGCCCCCCACTCCTTAGAGATGCCACTTGGGTAAAGGACTGGAGGAATGTGATTAGAGCCGTGCAGAGAGGAGGGCAGAGAGTTCACTCAGATGTCACCTCTTGAGTGAGTCTTCTGCACCCCACCTCTTCGTCACTATCACATCACCCTCTCGGCTTCTTCATGACCCTTAAAATCCCAAAGTATCTTGACTATTACATGTTTGTCTGTGGCCCCTCCCACCTCCCCTGGAACAGAGCCTGGAGAGCAGGGATGTTGTCTCTTCTCCCAGCGGCGCCTGAAAACAGCAGGTTTGAGGGAAATGAGGCTTTTCAGGGGTGGGGGCACCTCGCAGCGGAAAACCACTTCAGTGTAGTAATTGCTGTTGTGTGTGTTGTTCAGAACAGGCTACACTGCCTTTTTGTAAGAGTGACAGCCTGGAAAACACTTGAAGTTTGATTTCTTTTCTAGCCTTAAGTCTCACAGAGCGAACTGCTCTTCAAACAGGGATTTTAATCTTGAGCAGCCGTCCTACAGGGAGCATGCATTGTGCTCCCAGACCTCGGACTGAATGCTCTATGCATGTTCTCTCAATCCTCACAACTCTTCTCGGTCAGGAACCCATTCGGTAGGTGAAGAAACAGAGGCCCAGGCCTGCTAAGTGACTTGCCCAAGGTCACATTACAAGGCAGGGCCTGGGCTCATCCAGGTCTGTCCGATGCCAACGTCCTGATCTTCATCCCTCCGATCCATCTCGGCTTTAAAACGTGCAGTCGAAGATTTGGGGACATTCTCATTATGACATAAGGGTGGAACATCACAGGTAGGGATTAAGTGTTAACCCCTTCCCCAATAATTTTTTTGTTAAAAACGTTTCTTTTTCAGACTAATTTTTTTATTTTGGTTCTATATAGTATTTTTGATGCTGGTTATGAAAACAGTTTGTAACTCGTCTTCCTATAAACCATATTTTTTTACCATATTTTCTTAGTATACTCGTCGACGACTGAAAAAGAACATTTTGTGAAAACGAGTATACACGTTTCTGCCGGGTTAAAGAGAAGAAAGTTGCCCTTCGCCTTTCTTGCCAAGTAAAAAGGTACTTTCTGGCACTTTCCAGGGAACTTAACCCCTCTCCCCACCCCCCTCCCCTGATTTGCTAAATTAAAAAAAATCAGTGTCAGGAAGCGCTGTGCTGGAGCTGGCCCACAGCGGCTCACCAGCGCTGCAGTGTGCGCCTCTTCCCAGCTGCAAGTTCAGTGACACCATGCTGCTCAGCCTGGACGCAGCGCAGCAGGACTATTTCCACCGCAGACACGGACACAGCCTGACTGTAAGTCATGGCTGCTCCCGCTGGGAGAACCGGTTATTATCCCTTTACCTGCAGACACTGACCCCGAAATGAAACCACCACCAGGAGCAAGTCGATCGCTAGAAAACACAAACCCCACAAGTACCCTGACTGCCTTTGGGAATCTCTGCTGCCAGGCGTGGCTGAGGTTCTGCCCCGAGGAGTCACAGTAGAACCTGCATGGCCTCGCAATGTGACCACAGGTAACAGCTCTTTTGGTCACAGTCTGGGCACATTCCCAAAGCCAATCAAAGGAGATAAAGACGGTTCTTTCTGTTTTCTTGGCCCCGATTCTGCATGATCTTTTCACCTCAGTTTGGGAGAACGGGCGCTCAGCTGTCAGAGGAAACACATTGCCGCTGGAAGCTGGCTTGGGGAGATGAAATGCTATTAGAAGTCCATTGGCCGAGGGCCCTTTTCTCAGAATCTAAGCAGTCAACTGTGAAAAAATTAGATGTTGCTTTGACCTGGAAATTCGATTTCTCAGAATCTAGCCAACAGAAATATCGCCAACAGGGTTTAAAGTGTGTGCACGAGGACGCTCCGTGCAGCCCTATTTGTAACACAAAAATTTGAGAGCCATCAATAGAGAAATGGACATCTAAATTATGGCCCATTTGTACCATACAATACAAGTATCCACTTAAAGGAATGTGGAAAGTCTTTAAAAATGTGAAAACTTGGGCCCGGCTGGTGTGGCTCAATGGTTGAGCGTTGACCTATGATAAGGAGGTCACGGTTTGATTCCAGGTCAGGGCACAGGCCCAGGTTGTGGACTCGATCCCCAGTAGGGGGCGTGCAGGAGGAAGCGATTAATGATTCTCTCTCATCAATGAAGTTTCTATCTCTCTCTTCCTCTGCCTTCCTCTCTGAAATCAATAAAAATATATATTTTTAAAAATGTGAAAACTTTGTAGATACCATCATGAAAAGATGTCCAAAGATGTTGTAAAAGGCGGGTGGGGGAGGCACGTAGAAAGCAATGTGTAATATGATCCCATTTCTGTAAAAATGCATTTCTGTATGTATTTATAAGGGGAAGACATTAGAAGGACTCACCTCAGATCTTCAGAAGGAATTTCTTCTAAGGAGGAAAATGAATTGAGGATTGGGGGGCGGGATGAAGGCTTTCATATTTTATATACTGCTGATTTTTGGGGGAAAGTTTAATAGGAATAAATTATATTTATTACTTTAGCAGTTTTGTTTAAAGAAAATATTGTGGGAATTGTTTCAAGGCTGTGATTTTCAGGAGGCACAAAGATATTTTGGAAATAACTAGGATGCCTTGGTGGGAGTGGGAGGAGGCCCCGGTCTCCCAGACCCCCAAGCCTCCGTTTCATTAAAAGCTCCATTTTGAAAAATTTGCTTTACATTCTTGGGGTTTCCATTTCTTTTAAAAAAGGATTTCTGCTGCTTAAAAAGGGGGTGGTGGTATAAACCACTACATCGAAGGAAACGACAGGTTTAAATTGATCCCAACTGAGAACAGGGAGTCCATTGGAGTCACTGGTCTATCAGTGGATGCATGGCTTGTGTTTCTTGTTGCACCTGAGGTTAGTTTATCTGGGCTTTGGTGCAAGAGGTGAGGAGGGTGTGGGGTGGGGTGGGGACCTGAGGATGGGGTGGGGAGATGGGTGGTAAATATCCTCAGGGGGAAGGGGTGAATTGACTTCAGAATTTTGCAAGAGAAGACTGGGGCCAATGCAGAATTGGGGCCAAGAAGACAGGGAGGACCGCCCTTATCTCCTTTGATTGGTTTAAGCTTATTCGGGTGGGAGTGTGGCGTTCCCACTAGGGGGCATTATTTTATTTAACTCAGCCTTGGATTTCACACAGCACATCCAGTTCCCCAAGTCGGGATTCCTTTTTTGCTCCATTCTTGCAGGGAGCATGATTCTCCTTAAAGAACCAGTGCTTTCCATGCCTGCCTGTCCTTTGTCCTGCCTGTGTGCAGAGCGGTCCTGCAGCAGTGGGCTCTAGGCTTTTGCATGAGCCCATCCTACTAGTGGGGACACACCCAATACTTTTCTTGGGCTTGACAATATGTGCTGGAGCTTGTGCCTGAACAAACCCAGCTGCTCCAGGGACCAGAACAGCAATTCCCTTGGGTCTAAGTGGAGAAATAGCCATCCTGTATAATAAAAGGGTAATATGCAAATTGACCCTTACATCAGAATGACTGGGAATGACTGGTCACTATGACACCCTCTTGCAGTCCGGGAGCCCTCAGGGGATGTTTGAATGAAGGTCACATAAGCATTATGTAACCAAATTGTAGGACCTTAAATACACTGTCCATTGAGTAAAAGAATAATCCATAACAATTCCAAAGCAGGAAAACACACATATTATGTATATACTCTCATTTTATTTTTCATATATATATATATATATACACACACACACATACATACATACATACAAAGACTTGAGAGAAATGAGAAATACAAGGGCAAAGGGAAAGGAAAGAGTAACAGGTAGGGAAGAGGAGGAAAAGAAAGAAGAGCAAATAATAAAATATTGTTGGGGAGACATGGTCCAAGAAGAGAAGTGGAGAGCAGAGCCTGCTGTGCATCTGGTGGTATGCCCGTCTAGCTGGCCAGTGGCCATGGTGTGAGTACTCCCACCAGGCCTGATTGATCTTAAGCTCCCAGTGTGACAGGAAGTTCCTGCATTGAGCATCTGCTCCCTGGTGGTAAGTGTGCATCATAGCAACCGGTTGTTCCGCCAAGAAGAGAAGCAGAGAGCAGAGCCTGCTGTGCATCCGGTGGGGTGCCTGTCTAGCTGGCCAATGGCTGTGGTGTGAGTCCTCCCACCAGGTCTGATTGATCTTAAGCTCCCAGTGTGATGTCACCAAATGTGGAGCTGGGGGAGATGCACACAGTCGTCTCCCACAGCTGTATGCCCTGGGGCTCCAACCTACCTCTGTTTGGATCTCCCAGAACACACAGGAAAGAAAACTCCTAAA